TTAATGTTATTTTTTGATTAGATTTCAAACTATTTTTGCAGTTTAAAAACACTTAACTGGGGTAATTTATACAAGTAGGTAAGCCTATTTCAATTTTTGTTTACTTCTGCAGTTTGGTTAGCTGTAAACACGACTATGGATATCCCCCAGATAGAGTTTTTTGTACATATACTTTACATAAATGTCATTTTTACTCCACACAAAGATTGAATCATTTCTTGTTTCTCATCCATTCAAATAGGAATTATTTCATGAGTACTTTAGCTACTCTTTTACTTACACAATAATTTTGCATTTTATAGCTCTGACAATAGTTTTGGTTTTATTGCTCAGTGAAATAATTATTTTTATGGTCCCTATTCATCACTTGATTTTTAGAAGTTTAATACTTTCTAGCTGTAATTGGTAAAATAATATTTTTTATATTATTTTAGAGTAATAATCTAGTGATTCACAGTGCTATGCAATTCTTTCACAACTGGATCAGAGACAAGCACCAGAATTGTACAGCATGCAGTCTGTCTTCAAACAAATCTATATGCCCTCATGTTATAACAACCAACATAGAGCATGATTCTGTAAAACTACCACTGGAACATCTGGTTTCACGGGGTCTTATTGGTAAGACCAAATATGGTTTCTTTTATTCCATTTGTTTCGATGATAAGTCAGAGACTCGTATTGCTTAAAGGGAAAATTAATTAGTGTTTTTTTAATTTTTAGTACATATATTACTGATATAATTATATACATATATATATATATGTGTTACAGTTGTTTGTATTTATATGAAACAATTTGCTTTACATTCAATAAGTGAAGCAATCTTGATATTCAGTTAAAAAGTGGAGCAAAAAGTGGGTTTTTAAGTTTAATAAGCACTTAGTTAGTATGTTTTTAGACAAGAACTTGTATAACCCATTGTTTATTACAATAGTTCTAATCATCATCTTTTGAGCAATATAATAAAAAAAACACTTTAGGTGTGTGAAAAAAAGGTGCAGCCAAAAAAGGATTATGCATGTGACTTAAAGGAATGAAATAAAAATTGTGGCCAAACTGGTAGCTACACTTATAGCATTGATAAGAATTGTACAGCAAATATTCATTCATTAATTAGCCAGGCTGCATTTTTTGTATAAGTTAACTTGGGACATGATGGTGGGTAAAACAAAATATGGAGATTATCTATCTAATAAATGAATACTTGATGTAAAACTCTTATCAGTGCTATAAGTGTAGCTACCAGTTTAGCCACCAATTTTGATTTTATTTCTTTAAGTCGCACACTCAATCCTTTTTTTTTTGCCACACCTATTTTTCACACCTAGGGAATTTTTGATTAGATATCATGATCTTTTTGTCAATACACACCAATAAACCACAACAATTAGAATGTGACACTCGATAGTAACCAGCATAAGCTTTAGGATCGCAACCATGTTATTCAGAACAGAACAATACTTCACAGAATCAACCAGATTATTTAAAATATATGGTGGTAGTTTTGCTCTCTCAAACAGTGTTAATAACTTCCTTTATAGTAATGCCATAGAAACTAGATTAACAGTTTCTTGTCATCACCTGCATGCACTCATTACAGCCGTATTAAGCATAATTATTTATGCTAATTGCTTAACCTAATATTTCATTATGTTAAATGCTCTTTATTTAGGAGAATTTAATAAAATTTAGCAAATTTGTGATTTAAAGTTGGCAATGCATAATGAATGATAGCCGTTCACCCATATGATTCTTTTGAAAACGTGAGCTAGAAACTACTAATGTAGTTTGCTTGGCCTAACCAATACTTATGTATCTGCATGTGCTTACACCCTATAGTTTTGCTGGTTTAAATCTTTTGCTGTCTTTAATCTGAATGACAAAAAGCTAAAAATGTTCCACTTTTACCGATAGCTCGCATGCCATTTTGCATAGGCGTGCTCAAATGTTTTGGTCAAATTTGAGCGGTTTTTGTTGAATAACTGTACACACATGTGGCTTATGTTTAGACCAATATTGACACCTAATTTTAGCGTGTAAATATCTATCTGTATTTCAAATTTGAAAAAAGATCCATAAAAGTTAAGTATGTTTTCTATCAAATAAATTTTCTGTACTTTCAGTGCAAAGAAAAAATTCAATCAAAATTTAAGGATTTATGTCTCATGTATATCTGAATGGATTGCCATAAAATCTGATATGTGAAGTAAGGTTCCAGTAGAGCATATCCACTGAAAATATGTGATAATTTGAATTACCACAGTCCGAGCTACAGAGGTGGAAAATCTCTAAACTATCACTCATGTTAGTAACACACAGTGTGTCCTGCAGGTTGTTTTGGCTGAACGACACACTACTGTGTGTCTTGATGTTTAGTACAAGTAATGCCATCTACACTGTGTTATTGACACCTTTTTGTTTTAATCCAAATGAGATTACTTTCCAATTTGTTCTTATTAAGCCTTACCATTTGTAGATAATGGCTAATAACTTTTTTAACTGTGTGTCACTTCAATTGCTCTTCTATAATTTTAAACATACAAAAAATAATTAAAGAATTAGTTAAAGTGATCGTGTAGAATTCTTCAGTGTGAGACTTATGTGAAAGCTGTAAAAATAAAAATGGAAGAACTAGAGCGAAACTGCCATTTGTGTATTTTTCAAAACTGTAAGAACAGCTGTGCCAATAATAAAATATTTATGTAAGTTAACATTTAGAATATTTAAACTCTGTATTGAAATTAATGTTTGTGTATGTCATATAAAATGGTTTCTTGCAGTTGTTTCAGCACAGTCAGTTTCTTATCTTTCAAAATTGTTTATAGAAAACTTCTTCGCTCTTGTGTCAAGATTTAAAAAAAAATGTAAATGCTTAATTTTCATTTGTGTTTTTTAGCTTAGA